TTGAGTTCAGGATGACATAATTTCGGTTTGATTTTAGTACTTATTTTTATGTGTAATGCCCACGTCTAATAGAAACGCAGACAGTACAATAGGCTTGCTCATCCCAAGATAAAGATTTGTGGGCCTGAATAGATGCAGTTAGTATTCAGATGGGGTTTGAGCTATATATTGTAATGGTCAAGATTGGGAGTAATTATTGTGTCTGGACACCGAACGTGTCCAGAGATCAATAATAAAGCGCCACATCACTTGGGCGCTCAGTATCGCGCTCGGTACACTCGGTATGCTTGGTATTATGTCCGGACATAATAATTTTTCCAAGATTGGGTGGACTGTTTAAGCTAGTTATAATGAGAACTCACTAGGGACTTAGTCCACTCTCAGACTAACTATGGTAGACATAAGAAAAAGGTACTGTAAAACCACTCTAAATAAATAACGTGGTAATCTATTTGTATCATTTTTTACCATAGCCAGCTCCATAAGTGTAAAATTAAGGGCAATTCTGCAAGAGGCCCTTAATGGATGAATATACTTGTCAGTCTTAACACGTGAAGCTTAGAAACCCTCTTTCTTGAATATGAGATTTAGGGTTTGTTTGGGATAGCTTTTTGGCTGCTTTATTTTTCAGACAACAATCGCAATTCAATTGGCTACAATTTTCTTGTTGGTTTTTCGTTGCTTTTTAAAAAAATTTTGTCGTGAAAAGTTATTTTCTGCAATCATAATAGGGAAGTTGTTTTCTCGACAGTAACTTCACAACTAACTTTATAAAATAGTGCAATTATCTTTGTTTAGATTTGGATAAATGAGATTATATGCAAGTGATGAAACTATGTTGTGTACAAGTTCTCTCCGAGAACTGAGAGTGAGGTTTGTTAATTAGTTAGCACATTTATATAATTTTCTTTTATTGGCATCTCTGATGTTTGCATGGTGTAGCTGTTTATTTTTCTGTGGAGAGAATGGCCAGTTAAGTGGTTTGGTGAATCAAATTTCTGCACTAACCATAAAGAACTGGCTCCCAAAATTTTAGCCATGGAATTGACCCAACAAAAACAACATCATACCTTATATCCCACTGTGGGGTCAACTACAAGAATTATTTTTTCCCGTAGTGTCATATTAAGAGTTAAATTCTTAGTTAAACATAGTAAAAAATGTCATTTCTAATATCTTTTAACAAAATCTTGTTAGGTTTATCACTATCTTTCTTAATATAGATTAGATAATATATATAGGTTTCGTTTGGGAAGACTTTCTTATTGCTTCTTAAAACAGCTTTTAGTAAACAAGCCGTCCCAAACGAACTCATATTCTCTTAATCAGGTCATCAGAAGGCTGATGTTTTATGGGACCATAGAATTGAGCCATCATCCCTTTTACACATTATACACAACCTCTTGATCTATGATTGAGCTGCAGAAGGCTTATGAGACTTGTAGGAAATCATATGGTTTGGGGGATTGGGGTTCTATGAAGTAATTGAGTGGATTTGGTGGATTTTTCTGATAAATCTAAGAGCAAAGAAAGGAGGATGCTGACGAGTAGTGTTGGTTGGCATGCCATAAGGCTTGGATTCCATGCCAATGTAGAGGTCGTTAGGGTTCTGTAGGAGTCTACCTAAGAGAGAAATTGATCATAAAAAATTACTCAATTGCTTCAAAATTATTTATAGAAAATTTAGGAGCTAATCCATATCTATTTGCGCTAATTTTGGATATTTATTCTTAGAAAACTTGTCCTTCTAAGTTTTCTTTGGGAGCCTTTTGGATGGGGATTAATTTTGTTTCAAATGCACTTATAATTCAACACTTGACTAAAGATGTTGATCTTAATTACATTAAAAAATGTAGTTAATTTTAAATTTTAGTTAAGTAACTTCTTTGATTATCCTTCTAGTTAATTGAAATTATTTGATGATTTTCTTTGAGAAAAGCCATTTACAAGATGTCCAATTTTTTTAGCGAGGCTGATATAATTTGGTTGATAATAGATAGATCAATCCTATATGAAGTTGAAGCACTGTCCCTAGATGTGAATTTTAGGTACATAAAATGATTAATAAAAGAAAAAGTATTCCTCCTTTTTCTCTCCTTTGAAGCATTCGCATAAGAGCTAATTATCTAGCCCAACATCATATTTGTTCTCCTCCTGTATACATGATCAATTTTCTATGGTATTTATATCTCATGATCTGCTCTGGTATTAAGTTTGTAGTCCTCTTATACTATGAGGATTACTTGTGAACACATCAACAAGAAGATTAGTGCTTGTTGATGCTCATCACCTCTCTTTTTTGAGTTCTTCTCATTTGTTAAATTAGTTTGAACTTGTGAAATGCCTTAAGTGAAAGAAGCTAAGCTCTTAAACTTCGAGGCGCATTTTGGTGTAATTGTTGAAATTTCATTAAGAGACTCTGTTGTTAAGCGTGCACATCCCAAAGAAATCTTGTGATGGTTGACCTCTTGGGAAGTTATACTAACATGATAAAATTGTGAGGCCCTTAGGCCAAAGTCGACAATATCTCGAAAGTTAATAGTTTGTGCTGTTATAAGTAATATCAGAGCAATACACCAGCCGGAAGATGAGAATTAGTGGTGGATGTATTATATCCGATGGTGTAGGGAGAGCTTCAATGCTAGGCATGAGTTTTGGTTGATTGGAGATGTTGGACAGTAGTATTTTCAAATATCTTAGAACTCCTTTTAGTCCTAACATGCATTGCTTCATGACTCCAATAATGCATTGCGGTTTGTCTTTATAAAATTCTCTAGATTTTCCATTAATCTCTCACAAATCACAATGAAATCCTATGACATGGAACTAGTGCATTGATAGCTAAAGTATGATTGGGGTGTGAAAGGCTCAAAGTTGATAAGACATAATAAACTTAAGGAGTTTAGTTTTTCTTTTGACACTTCACATAAGTTCAAAGAAGGTTTCACCATAACTATTGATTTTGGCACTTTATTTGTGCTGGCCCTCTTCCATTTCCATTTTCCAAGGTAACTATGAAGAGAAATCTTTTGGTCTTTGTAAACCCCAACACTGCTAACAATGCAAGAAAATTTTTGTAGAACTCATTTGTTTTCTTCTCGAATGTTTGAACTATGATTACGAAAGAGTTAGACTTCGTTTGGGATAGCTTTTGATTACTATTTTTAAACTACTTTTAAGAAATTTTTATATTAGAAAGCTGTTTAAAAAAAATAATAAGAAAACTGTCCCAAACAAAGTATTAGAGTCGTACAAAATCATCCCCCAAACAAGTTTTTTTTTTTAAGCAGCTTTTTCATGCAAAGATTTTCTGAATTAAAATTTTTTTTACTAGAAAGTTACTTTAAAAAACAGTAAGAAAGTTATTTCTCCTAATGTATATCTATTTATTTTCCCTTTATTTATATGTGAGATCATATGGAGGTATCTAAATCTCTTCTCACTCATTTAAAGTAGATAAAATAATAATTTCTTATTTTAAAAAATTAAGATATTAATAAATAAATACTATTTATATTTATATATAATACTATTTTTAGTATTTAAAAAGTAATTTCTGATTCTCCTAATATAAATAATTAAACTTTTAACTTAAAAAATAATCACAATCATTAATATTTTATAGTTTAAAGAGCTATAATTTAATGAATAAAGTTATATGTATGCATGAAATATATAATGAGTCATGAGAATATCAATAATCAATTATTGTTTTAAAACTTGATTCTTTAATAATTGTATCATAACTCGCCATTTAGCATTTTGTTCGTGTCTATAAATATTCAATATATTATATATATATATAGTATACATCGTAATTTAAGGGTATTGACTTCTCTAGTTTTTTTTTTTTAAGAATAAATAATTTTATTTTATTTAAAATTAGTAATTAAATATATTTTTCTAAAAATAAATGCATTAGAGAATGGATCAAATCTCTTGAAGATTTTTGATTTAAGGTTGCTTGTGTCATCAGAACTTTTTACTAACTTCTATTGACCTACAATTATATTAAGGAATCATTAGATAATACGCAATAAGCTATCCTCGAATTTTTAATTGTTGCCCTTTAATAATTTTATCATAGAAATATACTGTCCTAAAAAAATTTAAATTTTTATAAAAATATGTGACAAATTATTGGTGACTTTGCTTTCGTATATATGATGAATATAAATTAAAATTTTGATAAAAATTATAGAAATTAGTAGATATATATTTATTTATCTTATATGCAATTTATATTTTGTTTTCAAAAAAGAGCTCCCAATTTCATAAGTAAATATTCATCTTCAATTAATAATATAGCGAAAAATATCATTTTTTATACTATAATATTGAGAAAAATGCCTCGATTTACAATTAAATATAAAATAGAATATATACATTAAGCTACAAGACAAAAAATAATAGAATACATATCTAATCCATTCAACCATCAAAGTTCCTTTTGAAATAAAATAAATAAATAAATATAAAATTTTTAACATAATGAAATTACAATATTTTTTATTATTTAATCACTCTTTTTAATTTTTAAATTCTAACAACATAAAATCATTGCGCATAAAATAAAATTAATATATATGCCATAATTGATGATTATATTGATAATTTTAGAATTTGAATTTTAAAAACTCACCATTAATCCTAATTATTTAATGTTATTTTATTTTATTTTTTTTTTAAATGTAAATATTTAAATTTTTTACATTATTTAAAATTTTGTATTGCAATACTCATCATTCACACCAGAATTTAGTTGAGGTTGCTCCCACCAACTCTCCACCCATTCCTCTAATAAAAGCTTCTCGGCCTTCTCTGTCATAGAGATACCATTTCAATGGCGTGCGGAGTTCCTCTTGCTATACTCACAAGCCAAAGCTTATACCTCGCTTCTGTCTTCTTCTTCTTCTTCTTCCATTGATCTCACAATTTCAGAATCTGAGATGAACTGTATACAGAAGAAATCATAAACCAGAGATAGTTGTAAATCCGCCATGAGAAACTTTTCCTCCTGCTTCAGCAATCACTCTATCAAACTCACCACCGCCGCCGCCCCCGCCGGAAACACCCCCACAATCACTTCCATCTTCAGAGCCAGGCTCACCTCCGGCAAGCCTCTCATAAGCAAGCTCACCTGGTACATGAACCAAACAGACCCATCCCTCTCAATTACCGTGGACGACAATCTTGACTTCAACAATCCATGGAAGACCACTTCAATGGATTCCCAGCTGCTGAGGAAGAAGAAAGGCACCCTTTCCTTCCTCACCAGCTCCTCCTCCGGTTCTCTCCACTGGGACTTCTCAGCTGCCAGATACCAACAGGGACGACCTGAACCCACTGAGAACTTCTACTTTGCACTCATTATCGACGATGAAATTGCTCTGCTTCTCGGAGACAAAAGTGGGGAGTTCCTGAAGAGGAGTAATGAGAATCTCCCAATTGCAGAGTTTTCATTGCTGTGCAGGAGGGAAGAAGTGGTTGGACGCTCACTTAACTCCATTACTAGAGCTAAGTTTGGCGAGGCAGGGAAGGATCATGAGATCAGTATAAGATGTAGAGAAGGTGGGTGGGATGGCAAAGAAGCAGAGCTGCTGGTTTCCATTGATAAGAAGAGAGTGGTTCATGTGGTGAAACTGAACTGGAATTTTCGCGGCAATGAGACTATTTTTGTTGATGGATTGCCAGTGGATATGATGTGGGATATGCATGGCTGGTGGTTTGGCAGCTTGGCTGGCCATGCTGTGTTCTTGTTCAGGCAGCGGAGGAAGCTTGAGACCAGGCTGTGGTTGGAGGAGAAGGAAACTCTTGGCTTCTCCTTGCTCATCCAGGCCTTCAGAAGCACCTTTTGAACTGTAATTTGGTCATCGTTTCTTCTGATATCATCTTGGGGGATTTACATACATAGAACTCTTCTTTCACATGTTGCCTGACCAACTAGGCCGAGTCATTGGATTAATTATTCTGTGCGGATACCGAACGCCGTTCGGAAACCAATCAGAATGCACAACGTCACCTTGTGCTCGGTACTGTGGCTCGATATTGCTCGGTACTGCTGACGTGGTCTCCAGATGGCGTTCTGCGTCCGGTCTCCGCACAGAATAATTTCTGGAGTCATTGAGGGTGAAATCAAAGACGGTGTTACTGCTAGTAGAAGTGGGTGAATAGGTTTTGGGTGGCAGTGGAAGCTCTGTTTCAATAGGGAAGAAGAGGGAAGGAGGTCAAATGCCTTCCTAATGAGATCCCGTTGCAACTTCCTCGTGTCAGGTGAGATCTTTTGTGACTTCTACTTCATCGTTGAGGATTTCAAAGTGCTATATTATATAAATGTGAAAATTTTGAGTGCTATGTATGTAAATTTTTTAAGATGTTTCATGTTGATGATGAGGGAGCAATGTTCAGTGTCTGTCAACTAGAGTATGTTGATGTTGATGTTGATGTTCTTTTTTCTTTGTTTCCCATCTCTCTGTCTGGTTTGGATCAAACATAAATTTTTAGCTTTACATTAACTGCATTGATAGTGTCCTGTCCACATTTAATATGCTTCATATTAACTTTGTTATTGTTATGCTCTTCAATTTAAGGAGATCATTTCTTTGTAAGTTTTATCTTCATTTCATATTTTTCTGTGTAGAACAACGTAGCAGAAGATATTTGAATGAAGAATTTTAGAAAAATTTGGTATGGTGATTTAGTTGAGTTTTAGAAACAAAAATTAAGTCCAGGTGATTTGATAAAAAATGATTAGATTGACTTAAAAGTAATTTGAATCGATTTTGAAATGAGGGTTGATACTTCATGAACAAAATCATTTGATTGAGCACGAATCTTGATGCATATTTGAATTGGAAACTTTTAAAGTTAAATTTGGGACAATTTAAACTCCAATTATAGCAAACTTATTGTCAAATTGAACGTCTCATTAAGACTAATCCATCGACCCAATTGGTCCAATTCGAGTCCAAATGGACCAAAATCAAGGGTCTTAAGCATATTTGAAAACTCCAAAGTATTAATTGGATGACGAAATGATATCTAAATATGACATAATTATAGTTGAATCGAGCGGCTTGATGAGACGAATCCAACGAGCTCAAGATTGCTTGATTATAATATCATTAAAACAATTAATTGTTGAACAAATGCTCTATGATTAAGGGAATCGAAATGAGCCATTCGATAGAACACTCTAAATTTTACATAGATCTTCTTTATATTTACAGAATATGTCACTCTTAAAATCAATAAATAGTCCCTCACTCTCTAGATGAGGGGCTTTTGGAAGCTTGAACTATAGGCTAGAAACTCAAGAGAGCTCTCAAGCTTAAAGAGTCCTAGAACTCCACCCAAACACCTTTGTCGGCAAACCCTCGCCGCCTTGTCACCACTACTAGGTTTTCGCCCGACCACCACGAGGGACCTTCGTTCGGACTCCACCTCTTGGTCTCCGCCCAACCTCCATCTAATGGTAATTATGGTCTCTTCGACCTTCATCACCTGCTGACTATGGTCTCTTTGACCTTTGTCAATTGACAATGGTTACTCCGACTTCTATCACCTGATTATGACCCCTTAGGCCTCCATTGCACAACCACAGTCCCTCAAACCCTATCCTCTGCTGCCCGACAATAGTCCCTTCGACCTCAATCGCTCGGCTACGGTTTGTCTGACCTCTGTCATATAGTACGGTCCTTACTATCTCCATCGTCCACCTAGCTACTCCAGTCCCCCCGATCTCTGTCACTTGACAAAGGTCCCTTCAACCTCAATCTCTCGACTACTGTCCCTCTATCCTCTGTCGCCAGACTATGATCCCTCTAACCTCTGTTACCCGATAATAGTCTCTCTGACCTCTATCTCCTAACAAAGTTCCTCATACCTTTGTCACCCAACTATAGTCCATTCAACATCCACACCCAACTATAGTCCCTCCGACCTCTGTCACCCTATAATGGTCCCTTTGATCTCAGTTGCCCAATTACAGTCCCTTTGATCTCCGTCACTAATTGACTATAATCATTTCGACCTCCGTTGCTTGCCGACTATAGTCCCTCCAACTTTTACCTCTAAAAAATGGTCCATTTTACCTTAGTCATCCGACTAATGTCCCTCTGACCTCCGTTGCCAGAATACAGTCCTTTCGACCTCCATATCCTGCCAACTCTGATCCCTTCGACCTCTATCATCAACTGGCTACAATCCCTCTAATCTCAGTCACTCGATAATGATCCCTTGATCTCAGTCTCCTGACAACGTCCCTCCAACTTCAGACACGCGACTACAGTTTCTTTGACCTTCATTGCTTAATTACGGTCTCTTCGACTGTAATTGCAAACCAATTATAGTACCCTTGACTACTATCGTGCGACAATAATCCTTCTGAACTTCATCGCTCATTGACTATGGTCCCTCCGACCTATATCTCTCTTTGACTATGGTCTCTCTAACCTCCATCATCCGCCAACTATGGTCCCTCTTACCTCTATCACCCAATAGCGTCCCTTCAATCTTAATTGCCTGACTACGGTCCCTCCAACTTCTATTTTCTACATATTATTGTCCCTCTGACCTTAGTTTCCTACATATTGTGGTCCCTCTAACCTTTTGTCACTCGATAATGGTCCCTTCGACCTCTTTCGCCTTACTACGGTCCCTTAGACCTCTATTGCCTTCATACTATGAAAGGGTCCCTCCGACCTCCGTTGCCCATTGACTATGGTCCATCAGATCTCTATCACCCGACAACAATCATTTGATCTCGGTCGCTCGAGTACGATCTCTATGACCTCCGTCGCTCGACTATGATCCCTCTGTCCTCTATTGTCTGACTATGATCCCTCTAACCACAATCGCCCTCTGACCACTATCACCTGCCTATGGTCCTATCGATCAAATGCACAGGCTAAAGTTCTCTTGAGGATCGCTCTCATGCTATTGGATTATTCCAACTCAAAACATGTAATGTGCTCTTTATAATATATATTTAGTACATTGAGCCAATGACTTCCCCCGAGGAAGGGCATCATTTATAAACAATAACAAACATTAGTTGAATCATTTTAACTGGACAAGGCCATATTTTTTTTAGTTTTTAGGATTTCCATGTAAAAAATTGATCTCTTATGACTTGCACATTTCTCTTTTCTTTCTGTCTGTGATGGATCTTCGTATAAAACTAAAACGCTAAATATTACATCTCTTCACTGCCGTGAATGTTCCAACACATGACAAGCGTAATATATAAATAATTTATATTATACTAATCTCAAATTAGATCCAAATATTGTAAAGCTTATTTTATTAAAAATTTAGTTTAAGTGTCTTGACCTAATTTTTTTCATTTATAGTGGGACAAAGGTTTGATGTTATTGTTGTTTTTCAAGGTTTGCCAATGTTGACAAGATAGGTATGAATGACCCAAAGTCAGCTCGATTAAAATATGCTTGGCCAAAACTCATTGAATATATGAGTCAAAATATTTTAACTGAACCTAACATGACTTGTTTAACCCATTTATTATAAGGTTCATGTTTTTTTAATCAATATGAACCATTTAAACCAAACCTAATTGATTTAAATGAATCAATTTCATGTTTCATGATCAACTCAAACCAAACCCTAAATTTAATTGAGTCGTCTAGAACTTTTCAGTCAGGTTCTTGTCAATTGTTATATTATGCCATTTATTGAAATATATAGATTTTTTTCTTTATCATAGAATCTTACCTCATAGTGTACCCTAAGACATTTAAATAAAGAAATTAAAAAAAAATGTTATGGCACTCATAGAGAAGGTGGCCTGGTGATTGGGTTAGGTTTTTTCGTTGTCACGATGTTGAATCTAAATTTGTTCGTGGGCTATACTCGAATCTTACTTGCGAGATTGACCAAAAAATAGAGAAAGAGAGAGAGAGAGATGACAAAAGAAGAAGAGAACTCTATATAATGTTTATTACCATAGAATAGGGAGCTTGAGACTAGTAAGTTGTATTCCTTATGCTTGCTCTCTAACCCCTATTTATACGTGGGAGTAGAGATAATGTTATATAAAAAATTAATATTAAACAATAGAAGATGACATAATAAAATCTTGTCACAAAAAGAATATATGTTAATTTTATGTCCTTAATTCACTACCAAAAAATGGGATCTTTCGCAGCACTTGGTAATGGCAGTTTGAAAACTGTTGGCAAAATCGGGTTTTCGCATCGGTTATAACCGATGCAAATAGCAGCGGTTATAACCAATGCCAAAAGTTGCGGTTTTAACTTCTTAGCCTGGCATTCCATCCGTCATTTCATTTTTTATTTTCGATCCCGCCCCCTTCGTGCCTCCGCCCCCTTCTCCGATTTCATTTCAATCGGTCGTCGCCGTCAAAGGTCAAAATCCGGCCGTCCGTTCGTCAGCATCGAAGACCAAAGTTCGGTCATCCGTTCGTGTCCAGTTCCTCCAGATTTCCCTCCTCGCGATCGATTTATCCCCTAACCTAGGGTTTTTAATTTTTTTTTTATGCTTGTACATTAGGTTGCATAAATATCATGTGCTTTTATTGTGATGTCTAAGGAAATGATTTCAAGTGGGAAACAATCATGATAGTAATGTGTATGCTCTCAAACTTTCTGCAATGTGTAGGTTCTCAAACTTTCTGCAACCAATCCTTCAGAAGCTATTCTTCTTTCTTTTGCTTGTGGTTGTTGTCTTCTCAAGTTCAACTGTAGTTTATTTGGGTATGGTTAAAATAATATAATTGTTCTCAAACTTTCCACTTATTTTGTTAAAATTTGAACCACGTGTTGTCAATTTGAACCTTAATATCATCGTTTTTGAAGCCTTCAAATCACAATGAAAGGAGTGATTAATTGTGAAATAAAATACAATTGTGTTGAAGGCAAAATAAAATTTTCAAATGGGAATGAGAGCTTTTATAATTTGCATAGTTGAGGGGTTTTATGTAAAGTTTTCATGCTATGTATATAACTAATAGAGCCTTTGTTTTTTCCAAACAATTTATAAATGTATCATGAAATTTTTATGTATTTATATTTCTAACATCTAAATTTTTTATATTAACTAATATGTATTCTTAGTATTCTAGTTTAAATAAATTAATATTTGTGATATTTTTTATGCAATTTAGAGGTTTTTAGTCTTATAAAATACAGAAAACATATATATTAATATGTAAATTGTTATGATCAACATGAATTAGAAAAGTAAGAGGTGAGAGAACTTTTTTTTTTTTATGATATTTACTTGGTTTGTGTATTATTTTGTGTTGTATGGGTAAAAAAATAACAATGCATGCCTAGAAGTTGCATCAGAAGAATGTAGTTACAAGTATCTCGAGCCCATTCAAATAAAGCAAGTCACATGATTTATTATTTTCTCTTAGATTCTTGAGA